GCTCGAGGACGAAGCGGACCCGAACCGCTTCTACAACCATAACCGACTCAGCGCAACCTCCCTTCTGGAGCCAACAGCCACGCATACCGCCCGGCCGTACTCTCCCTACGAGGAGGACGCATACAACCCATACCTCGTGAACTCCCACCTGGAACAAGACCACTACCACGAGCCCGTCCACCCCAATCCACCCTACCCAGACCATCCTTCCGACCTCAACAACCCCTACCACCCTACCACTACGCTGCAAGAACAGCCTCCCATCCCTCTCCCAGAATCCTACCAACCTCCTCCCCCGCACTACGACAGTGACCACCAACAACAACAACGAAGGTAAAGCGACGAGATTTGATTCCGACGAGCAACAAAAGAAACTCCGGTACCCCCGGAGTATGATGACCCCTTAAGTCTTCATGCATGTTCTTCACATTCTTGCGCGTTCCTCACCCTCCCTACTGGGTCGAGTTGAGAGCGCCACGGCTAGCTACTTAGCTAGCCGTGTTTATCTTTGTCTCTTGGCGTTGGCTTATTTTATATCTGTCTGTCTGTTCCGTGCATCTGTCGTATAATACCCTCTGAATTTCTGGGCTGCCTTCTTGTTCTTGATTGTTTGATTTTATCTAGCTATATGATATCACGGTATGAAGATTGAGGTTTTTTTTTCTTGATGAACCCGGATTTCACTAACTTACCTGGGAATCTTTTCTTTTCTCTTGATTTGAGGGGGTAAGGTTGGTTGGTTGTATATGATATCACTCGGCCTCCTTTTCTTCTTTTTATTGTCTTCGTTTCTTCATACTACTTATACTATCTTGCTGTCCTTTGCGGAGATAGAGATTACTTAGATTAGATTAGATACTTTCGTTGTACAATATTATCTTTACTTTCGATATACTACTATAGACAGCTATATATTCGTGACCGTGACTGCATTGAGGGAACTGTATTTGTTGTTTACAGTGAAATCGACAGTGGAACAAACCTACATAGCAAAAACATTGTTGATATTGATGGAAGTCAATCAGGGTATGATCATGCATTCATTTCGTTAAGACTACTACTACTATCAGCTACATCGACTAAATCTACCTCACCGAATATCTCCCTATCCATGGCTCACGCCATCCCCCGTCGAGAACGGTTCAGCGAACCGATTCTGCCACGATAATTGTTGCGTTTTGCGCGACATCGCCGTCCGTCTCACGCTGTTCATCAAGGCGGTTCGTTTCCCGAGCTCGCGCATCGCGCTGATGCTCTGGCCGAGTTGTCCTAGTAGAGAGACGAGGTGGACGTCGTTGCTCTGGGCGATGGCTTCGGCTGTGAAGGCGCTTTGTTCGTCAGGGGTGAGGAGGGAGAGGTGCGAGAGGAGGGCGTTGATGTTGCGGAGGATGGGGTGGGAGAGGGTGGCTGTTGAGTTGGGGGTGTCTGCGGATATGCTGGCGACGTAGGATTTGATGAGGGAGATGCGGGATTCGAGGGTCTTGATGGCGTTGAGGCGGGTGGTGAGGCTGGCGATTACTGTGGGGTTGGGTTGGTTAGTGATGGGTTAGGTTCGGGTTTGGGATGGTGGGTGGGATGGCTCTTACGTTCTTCTTCCTCCGGGGAGAGCACGTCTGACTGGTCCTTGGTGGGTTCTTTGCCGGCTGATTGTTTCGTGAGAGAGGAGGTGGCAGGTGTGTCTACCGCGGCGTTTCTGGCTGTTCGTGCTACGGTGTCGATGCCAATCATCTCGGCTTCGCCCGTTTCGACGGAGTAGGGCAGTTCGCGGAATCGGATCGTTAGGGATTGTTCTTCTCCATCAACCTGCATTGTCTTGCTGTTCTCTGTTGCATTTTCGCCCTCGTATACGCTTTCATAGATTGTCACGGGGAGCTTGCCGCCGTTGGAGGATGCGTCGTGTACCAGGGATGGGTGGAATGCGAGGAACACGGCGGACTCGTTGTGGTTGTGGAGGATCTGGCGATGGATTGGGAGGTGCGCGGTGTTGGGGCCGGACGGAGGAGCAGTTGACCACCAGCCGACGAGGTCAAGGGCAGGGGCTTTGTGTACATCTTTGACTTGGAGGGGGTCAGCGAGCCCATGATACATATAGATGGTTGAGATAAGATGGAGGTGACTTACATTGCTTGACCCTCTCCACGAACCAGTCTTGGGGAATCTGGAGTTCGCCATTTGCATTCTCGTTTACGATACATTCAAAAACGTGCTCCAAGGTGATCTCGCGTCCGTTCTGCTGGCCTAGAAGCGCTCCCACTATAGGTCCTTGCTGAGAGCGGGCGGCATGGCGGGTGATGTGGTCTGAGATAGTCAGGAGGATCAGAGGGTGGAGATGGATATGGAGGCCGGAGTCGGAGTTCTTAGGCGATAGGAGGGATTCTGGCTGATCAGACATGATGATCGTTATATCCTTGAAGGAGGAGATGGTATACCGAGTCGAAGTGGTAGGAGGAAGCTGTGATGGTCTGGAACTTATCGTCGGGGAGACTGACGGAGATGTCATGGGTGTTTGTCCCGTTTGCAACCAGCTTTCCCCGCCGCCGGGGATAAGAAAGCCGTTCCTGACTTGCCTTTCTCATCTCTCACTTCCCCACGGATCGCATCACCGTGGATCTGTTTGGAATCAACATGGCCGTTCCATCTACTTACGATGAGGTCCGACAGCACCTGGAACAGGTGCAGCGCGAGCCCTCCACTCGTCTGGACACGTCTCTTCTTGAAAAGTTGAAGCTCGAGCTTACCGAGAACGTCGATCGCAGAGTCCCCGCCACCCTTATGATCCAGATATCGCAGCTGCTCCCCGTCCTGCAGGAGGACCCGACTCCTCTTACCGCTCTTGGTGTCAAGGCTACTACGTATCTCAGCTTCGCAGACCTTCACTCCGTCGATCCTCCGATCAACTTCATTGCCGGTTTCAAAGCGCCCTCGGAACCTATCAACTTGTTGGCTTTGTCGTTGCTGCGCAAGGCAGGACACGCCGCTAGTGATGCCGCCATCGTTGCCGGCGATCCGGAACTCGTTTCGTCCTTGGTGGAGCTGTGGCTGTCGACCTCTTCTACGGCCGTAGCACAAGCGGCGTTTGACACAATCTGGGAGCTCTTGGAGGTCGACTCGGCCAGTCCGCTCGAGAATACTGGACATGAAGGCGATGAGGCCACCGGTGGTCAAGGACTCGTTTGGAGGCGAATTTTCGCGGATAAGGATGTCTACGGGCTGCTATTTTCCCTCTGCAGTCTCACGGATAATGGAGCAGGAAGTCTGTCCAAGCGCGACAAGACTGTAGCTCAGGGACGGTTGATGGGTCTGCTTGTGAAGGCGGGTCGGCTGCATTGGGACATCATCTCGAAACCACAAGTGCCAGAAGTTGAGAGGAAATATCAGAGCAATGGCCTTCTCCATTTCGCTGCCTGCCATATGGTTGACAAGGATGACGTGCTCATGCATATGACTTTGATTAACTTCTTCCATGATCTTCTGGAGATTGATGCTCCTGGTCTCATCGCTCGGACCATTGTGCAGTCAGCGTCTACCTTCTCCTCTCCCGCCCTGGATTTTCTCATTTCGCATAACATCCATTCTACGTTGTTGGAGTATTACTTGGATGAGTCAAAGCTGGACGCGGTGGACCTGGCTTACCTGTGCGGTCCTATCATGACTTACGTTGCGCAGTATGCCGAGCTGTACCCCAATCACTTCCTGCAAAACCCGCAGTATCTACTGGACCGGATACTGTCTCGCATTTCTGCCTCAGTGGCGGTTTCGACCTCCCAGTGGGCACATGGGCCAGTCCCTAGCGGGCAATTGAACGTACTTTCCTGTCTGCCCCGCGTCTTGCTCGTGGAAGCCAGCAAGCAAGGACTGAACCCTGTTCTGGCCTTGCCGACCAGTCCTCCAAACAAGGAGGCTCTGGACGTGCTGGCCAAGATCCTCCATGGCCCAGTGAAGCAGGACCTTACGGACTCGATGGAGTTGAATGCATCTGGCCAGATGCCGACAGATTGGCACAAAGAGGCCGCGGCCGCTCGCGCGCTGTACTTCATGTACACTAATCAGCATACCAACTTTTGGACGGATGTAGTTGCGACGGCCGATATTCTTGCAATGAAGGATATTTCGTTGGCGTCAATATCCCTCATGAGATCCCTCATCACTGCTAACTGGCAGATCTTAACGGGTGAAGTCACCTCGTCTGTCCCTGGGACTTCCCGATACCAGCTTCCCACCGAACAAGATTTGGAGAGTTTGTCTCCGGCTACTCAGGGAGTTCTGCCGTCATCGGGAGCTTGGGCAGCTCTGACGCCGCCAGCCCTGACTATCCTCCTGCCATATCTTTTCAAGCCTCCTCGGTCATATGCCGAGTTTGTCGGCGGCGGAGCAGGTGATTCCCAGCATGCGGTCTGGAAAGTGGCAACGGCGAAGCACGAGGTCTTGGTGGCGCTGTATGACTGTCTCAAAGAAAATGGGGGACAAATGGAAGGGTTCGAGGACATCATGCGTACTCTCCGGCAACGGGTGAACGAGGGGCCATGGGGGCCTGTATCCCAGACTGCAAACCAGGTTGCAACCGTTGGCCTGTAAGGCTGGTGCTGCGGAGATGCCCATATCACTGGACGATTTACGATTATGCCATTAGATACCTGTACTATTTCATAATTTTCCACTCAGCAATAGCAATGAATCCTACATCAATAATATTTCCTACACAGTACTAACTACAGTACACCTTATAGATACTACACTCTGATTGGCCCATCTAGCCACCCAAGGGTTCCCGCCCCGGTACCCTAATTACCCAATTCGCGCAGATCTCCGCAGGCGGTGAGCCACATCCAAGCTCGGCCGGAACTTTTTTCTCAGCCATTGGATCATGGCGCAGTGAAACGCCCGCCAGCGCTTCGGCCTTTTCCTCCCTGGACGTTGAACAACCTGGGCCCCCAACGGAGCCATCTCCAACCGATTGAGAAAAAGGGGCATATTACCAGTGAATAATCTTATTGCCCGGCATGTCCCGATTCGGCGCAAAGAAAGGCAGAAAGCTCCCCGGAGCCGAATTCACTTGGGAGGCAGATCCCAGCGGAGAAAATGATACGGCGCCGACGCCTTTGTTCCCTGTATGTTTTGGGTTGATGTGATATGATATATTTGCTTCTTTGTTTGGTTGCTTTGTCACACGGGTGATTTGTTGCGTTTACCGATGTCGTTCACATTCACCCTGCTGCTGCTGCTGTTGTTATTGTTGTTGTCATAGCAGTCTGGCTTGCTGTTGCTTTTCTTCAGTCAAGGAATGAGGGAGAGGCTCTAATCATGTCATTGTACAAACAGAAATACACCGTCCCTCGCGCCAGACCGCTCTCCTCGCAGGAACAATTGCAGGTGGATTTCTATCGCACTCTCCGGGAACGGTTCCACGATGGCCCTTATTACTCGATTCTGGAGGGGGCGGGGTCGACGATGAAGAAGGATAGTGCGGCGCGGGCGAACTTCGATCCCTTCCATGGCATGCCGAGTTATTCGGGCAAGTATCAGAAGAAGAAGAGGGCGTTGCCGAGGTTACAGGGGAGGCAGTATGGTGAGTTTAATTACTCTGTTTCTGATGATTTATGAAGAAGTTGGGAGAGGGACATGGTGCTAATGGGACTGTGGCGGTAGTTATGAAGTTCTTCCCCCGCGAATTGTGGCAGACGATTCAGCCGACGTTTAAGCCCGATGCCGCGATGGATGGGTACGTGCCGCAGGTGGCGCGGGCTGGGGTGAAGCGGGGATTTGAGGACGATGATGAAGAGGAGGATGAGGATGTGGCGAAGCGGGCGAAGGCTGGTGGTGAGGAGGGTGAGGGGGCTGAGGATGATGACGATGGGGACGGGGATATCCTCGATCCGGAGGAGGAGCAGGAAGGCGAGGAGGAGATTGAAGATGATGACTTTGAGGATGACGATGATGAGATGGGTGGGGATTATAACGCTGAGCAGTACTTTGATGGTGGTGATGACGAGTATGGGGATGATGGGTTCGGAGATGGTGGTGGTGGCGGCGAGGAGGATACTTATTAGATCGAGCTGGATTCTTGAGATACCCTTTGTTCAAAACTATTATTCTTTGTCGGTTGATCTTATCAATCTAGCGGTTACTTTGGTTTATTCCTATGGTTGATTGGGTAGTTCACGCCATTGCCGAAGTATCTGACAATGTCACTATCTAAATAACAGCAAACCAATACAACACCACAGTTATCAATATCTTCCTTATAATGCCTACCCAATATAGCACTCATCCCCAACACCAGCATGCATAAACATCCCATCTATCTACCTCCCATAACATGCTCCTAATCCTCTCCGATCCTCGGGATGACGTCATCCCGCTATCTCGCGCCAACTGGACGATCGGATAGAACCCCTCAAGCCAAAACGAGGGGAAGGAAAAAAAGAAGACCCGCGATAAGCCACAAGTGACAGATAGCCAACCCCCCATCACCACACCACGCTATCAGGGAGATAGTACAGGGCGCAGTAGTACTTAGGTACAATGAACGGCAGCCAATCACTCCCACCGCGGCGCTCAGCTCTCGTCCTGTATGGCTCTGAAACGGGCAATTCGCAGGAAGTCGCCGAGGAGCTGGGGGCGTTGGCGGAGAGATTGCATTTCCGGACCCATGTGGGGGAGATGAATGTGTATAGGCCGGTGAGTCTTTCCCTTTCAATTGTGTTCTATATGGATGTGGGTGTTGCAATGCATGCTAACTGGTGTATGTGATGATGTATAGGAGGTGCTGAAATCGCATACGCTCGTTATATTCGTTGTCGCGACAACAGGGCAGGGAGACTTCCCGGCGAATGCGAGGTCGTTTTGGAGGTCGCTGTTGTTGAAGAGGCTTCCGGGTGACTTTTTGGATGGGGTTCGTTTTGCGTCGTTTGGGTTGGGGGATAGTTCTTATCCGAAGTGGGTTTTATTCGATCTCATACATGGATTGGAAGAGGACATGGTGATGGCTGACTGGCTGGCTTGTCAGGTTCAATTGGGCGGCACGCAAACTACATAAGAGATTGTTGCAGCTTGGTGCGAATGAGATTTATGATGCTGGGGAGGCGGATCAGCAGCATCCGGAGGGGTGGGTTTAGCTTTCTCTCTTGGTTTGGTGGGAGTTCGCTAATTGTGTTGTATAGGCTCGAAGGGACTTTCATTCCGTGGTTGACCGGTCTTCGTACACATTTGCTCGAGACGTATCCGCTACCTGAGGGGCTGGAGCCGATACCGGATGATGTTCAGTTGCCGCCGAAATGGATTCTGAAGCTTCAGGAGGGAGGTGCTTCGACGGCACAGGAAGGACATGCAGTTCCCGGCACACACGAGAATCTGCCCCCGCCGGATGATAACCCAAAGTTGACTCGATTGGATTATGATCTGCGGCCTCTGCCTGATACTTTAACGGCAACTCTCAGGGAGAATAAGCGATTGACTCCGCAGAAGCATTGGCAGGATGTGCGCCATGTATCTCTCACTGTGCCTGAACATACTTCCTACGTCCCTGGGGATATGTTATGCATTACCCCCAAGAACTTCACCACCGACGTGAATGCTCTGATCCAGATGATGGGTTGGGAAGAACAGGCTGATCAGCTCATCAGCCTGGTTCCTAATAGCCATATTCCTGCTGATGATCTCCCTTTGCCGCCTATTCGGGGTCTCGAGTCCTACCCCCAATTGACGCTAAGGGCGCTGCTTACAGACTATCTCGATATTCAGGCTATCCCGCGCCGGTCCTTCTTTGCGGAGATTGCGCATTACACGAACGATGAGATGCACAAGGAGCGTCTACTGGAGTTCACTTATACTAGTCCCGAGTATCTTGACGAGCTGTGGGATTACACTACTCGTCCGAGACGGAGTATTCTGGAAGTTTTGCATGAGTTTGACTCGGTCAAGGTGCCATGGCAGCATGCTATCTCAGTGTTTCCAGTCCTTAAGGGGAGACAATTCAGCATCGCTAGTGGCGGCGAGCTGAAGAGGGGTCCTGAAGGCGGCACCAAGTTTGAATTGATGATTGCCATTGTCAAGTACCAGACTGTCATCAAGAAGATCAGACAGGGTGTATGTACACGGTATATATCTGCGCTTCGACCCGGAAGCACTCTCAAGGTACAGCTGCAACGCGGTGGACTCAATTCCTCGGTCAACCAGCTCGTTGGCCCAACTGTCCTAGTTGGACCCGGCACCGGTTTGGCCCCACTACGATCTATGCTGTGGGAAAAAGCAGCAATTATCAAGGCATACCAGGAGGAAAATCCCGGGGTTGAGCTTAGCATCGGACCCACGCTTCTCCTCTACGGCGGTCGCAATCGAGAGGCAGACTTCTTCTTCGAAGACGAATGGCAGCAGCTCGGTCAGTTGACCAAGTTAAATGTGCTCACGGCATTCTCCCGGGATCAAAAACAAAAAGTCTACGTGCAAGATGTGATCCGCCAGAACTATGCACTACTATTCAAGCTGCTGCATGACATGGCAGGATCGGTGTATATCTGCGGCTCCTCTGGACAAATGCCCAAGGCAGTAAGGGAGGCGCTGACGGAAGCATTCCAGCACGGCGCAGAGGTGGAAACCGATCGATTCAACGAACAAGGGGCCGAGCAGTATCTGCTTGGCATGGAGAAGACGGGACGGTATAAGCAGGAAACTTGGTGATCCGCCTCAAGAGGTACTGTCACATGTGAAGCGGTTATACCACCAACACCTATAGATAGAGCGATGGCATGTCTGCCAGATCCGGCACCATGCGAATAGATTAAAACAAGCACAATATACCCACATATTCGAATAGAAACAAACAGCCACCTATGAGGTCATTTGAATACCTTTTACCCCGCTAAACTTGTCAACTTGTTGTACAAAGTCCCATAATAGAAAAGGCTAACCTCGGCTGGCGGCGGAAGAGTAACAAGCGTGGTTAGAATCTCGGCCCGCCTCGGGGGACTCTCCGCCCAGGTCACCTGTTTTCTGCCGCGGATGGAGCAGCAGCTGCTCCGACGGATCGGTGTCTCTCTACTCTTCCCTCAAAACGGCTTCTTGCTCGCTTTAAGAGTCGACGCCCCTCACGCTGCTGTCCCTCCCCCCCATTGCTCCTTTACTTCCTCCGAAGTCCCTTTACCACATATTATTGTCATAATGAGCGGCTTGCGAATTCTCGTCCCCGTTAAGCGGGTTATCGACTATGCGGTGAGTTTTGGTTTTTGTCGCCTCGTGCTTCTCCTGCTCCGTTCTCGGTGAAGAGTCACATCTCCGAGCGAAAGTTGCCCGCACGCGCAGTCTGCAATTGTGCTCCGTCGGCACCAACACCTACACTCACCATACTACCACGACACTACGGCACGATATATCATGCTAAACATCACTGATCATGATAGGTCAAACCCCGCGTCAACAAGGCCAACACCGGCGTCGAAACCGCCGGTGTCAAGCACTCCCTGAACCCGTTCGATGAACTCTCCGTCGAAGAAGCCATCCGCCTGCGCGAACGCGGCACCAAGAATCAGAGCCCCATGAAGGTCGAAAACATCCTCGCCCTCTCCGCTGGCGGAGCCAAGTGCGCCGATACCCTCCGCACCGCTATGGCCATGGGTGCCGACCGCGCATTCCACGTCGATGTCGGCGACAGCCCCGATGGTGGTCCCGAGCCCTTGACGATCGCCAAGATGCTGCAGGGTGTGGTCAAGTCTGAGAACATCAACCTGGTGCTGCTGGGTAAGCAGGCGATTGATGGCGACCAGGGCCAGACCGGTCAGATGCTGGCGGGTCTGTTGGGGTGGCCGCAGGCGACGCAGGCCAGCAAGGTCGATATCAAGGATGCGGATGGTACGGTGGAGGTGACGCACGAGGTAGATGGTGGTGTTGAGACGCTGCGGGCTAAGTTGCCTATGGTTATCACTACGGATTTGCGGTTGAATGAGCCCCGCTATGCTACGCTGCCGAACATTATGAAGGCTAAGAAGAAGCCTTTGGAGAAGAAGACGTTGGCGGACTTTGGTGTTGAGGATAAGAAGCGCTTGAAGACTCTGAAGGTTACTGGTGAGTTTAGTCCCTGCCCTGTCATGTGCACCCCCTCGCTGTTGCATGTACTGACTTACTGTTCTAGAACCCCCCGCTCGCCAGGGCGGTGGCAAGGTCGAGGATGTTGACGGCTTGATCGGCAAGCTGAAGGAGCTGGGTGCTCTGTAGAGGTGGAGTAGGACAGATGATTGGATACAACAATAGGTATACCTTTTAGTGTGTGTGTGTGTGTATGTTTACGACTAGACTCGTGTCCAGTGTCAGCTGAACCGGCTGGACCTTATTTCTCATTTCATTTATCTCCCGCAGATCATATCCCTGCCGTGTTGTCTAGCTCCTGTGGATATACTATTTACTTATGCTTAACTCTATCTGTGGCTAGCTATACCTGCTACAGTGGGTCGACCGCACGAATCACTCATCGGGGCAGGAGCAATTGCCTGATAGAGTAGGAGAGTAGTTCACACGAACTATCTAGCTGTCTACTCCGTAGCTAGCTGAACTCGGGAGTTCATCGGCACGTACTACGTAGTGACCCGACAAGCTAAATCTCAATATGACACATGTCTAATAACTAGTTAACTTATCCCCCTGTCACGCTGACATATACCCACTGCACATGCACTAATACCAGCTATCTACTAGTCGATTATAATCCGTCCGGGGATCCCGATCCGCTAGATAGATGGCAACCAGTAGTCAGTAGTCAGTTTAGTCCAGCGTGGGACCCAGGCACCGGGAACCAGCCGGTTCATTGAATCGGATCGAGATGAGGGTAGATGTATGTTTACTAGCATGGTCTGTACGGAGTAGTACTTAGTGGTGTGATGGTGATTGCATGCACTAGGATGGGTACTAGTTTGATATCAGGGTTGGGCTAGGCTAGATGGAGATGTTTTGTTGGATGTATATCATTTGTATAGATATACTATCTACTAGCTATCGTGGGTAGTAGATGGTAGTTAGTGGGTGGAAGGGGTGGGAATTGGGTGGAATGTAATTGGTAATAGGAATTAGTACTAGTGAGTGGGATTGGAGATATACAAATTCTCAGGTTGAATATATTCAGTAGTAGAAGTTACTATGATTATATAGACTCTACACTTTATACTAGATACTCGCCTACACATGACCTCTAGATATAGTAAATAGTAAAGTAGTAGAGTTAACCTTCAACCCCAACTGCATACATTCCACGAGCCAGACAAGCACACAGACACAGAGTGCCAGAGTGATGAACGACACTCCCGTTCGCATTCCAACTATGTACATTGTCCGATCGATCCATCTATCTCACCCGCTCTCTGTCCACTTTGTACCTACAGTAAGTTGGATACATCATATCAGGCACGGTTGATAGTGTGAGCAAACGAACACGAACACCAACTCGAACTCAAAAACTCAATTCATCCACGGAAGCACGTATGTATCCATCCATTTTTTTATCTAACTTTCTGATCCTTAGCTTAGCGGTCTACAGAGTAACTACAGTAGGTATTGGACATGACTCGCTGCCTTTCGGCTATTGATCCACTAGGGTGTTATGACAGGAGTCTGGCCATCTACTATCTATCATTGGAACGGGTTGTTGGGGATGGTGTATATAGTACGCTAGTTAGTTAGTTAGTCAGTTAGTTATTAATTAGTTAGTCTAATGAAGTGTTACGATCGTCGAATTGACTGGCTGACCGGATGATTAGTGAGGGTGAGGGTGAGGGTGATGTTTCGGCCGAAGTTGCCTCGTCTCGTCTAAGAATAGCCTGTCCTACAGAGTACAGTAGAGTAGACAGGGATCCATCTGTGGTTCAGCTGAGCTACTGGATAGACTGGAGTCATGTTTCGCATTGCCAGGGCCAGGGTCAGGGATTGTGGAATGTTCTGTTCTATTTACTATATTCTACTCTACTATACTATCTCTAGTCAAGTATATATAGAGGGGGAATACTATACACGCCTACCATCCTACCCATCAACATACAATAAGTTTAGTTACTAGTTAGTATGGAAGTAGGGATATACACATACCACTCCCTAATCACCCACTCCATCCTCAGTATCCCTCTCAACCGCAATAACCGCATCAATCCACTTCCCTACTATCCTCGTGGGCCCCTACCATCCCATCCCACCGATGGCATATGATATATCCGACAGTAAAGAAACACGGGAAGTGAAAATTTTTTTTTTCTCGTTCTAAATGCGCACATGGTGTTCAGGGGAAAAAATGAGATGAGAGAGGTTCGTTCGTGAGTTCGTGAGTTCTTGCTCCCGTTCCTTCGATGGCCCCCCCGGCCCCGGGATGATGAAACTCTGTTTGAAGGGGGTTGATGGGGTGGGTAAGTTGGGTTTGGGTTGGACTGGTCAGGTTGGACTAACTGGATGGAGTAGTAGATAGGATTTAAGTAGGTAGGTAGGTAGGTAGTAGGTCTGTGGTACCTTTTGTAACAAGGTACCTTTTTTTTGTTTTTTCTTTGTTTTGCTTTTCTTAACTGCGCTTCGCCCTTGGAACGGTGCGATTGAGGTGAGCCACTTGCGTCAATTGAGTATACTCATGCCCTGCTGTAGGTACCGGAGGGTAGGTAGGAAGGTAAGTAGGATGTGGTATAGTATCCCAAGCAACGCATCTTCCCTGTCGTTGGCGAGAAGTGGAACTAACCCGAGTAGTAGACTAGACTAGACTAGACTAGACTATTGGATCTCGATTGGGGGTGGAGAAAAAAGGGAGGAAATTGGACCTGTCAGGGACAGGATATTATTTATTTTTCTACTTTCGGAGGACGTAGTTACCCAGCTACAGTATCCGTATTTACTTCCATATTAACCTGGTGACTTGTTTACTTACTACCTACTTAGTTACTGTACTTAATTCTGCAGCTAGGGTTGGAGGGGATAGTGGAGAAAAGACAACATGAAACTAATGCAGAGAATTTTCTTTGCCTGGGCGACGAGAAGGAAATGAAGCGAGGGGATGGACCAAATCAATGCGAAGGGATACAATTTACCCATCCATGGATGGGGGCCAGACAGACAGAGCTAGCTAGCTACTGTAGATACTAGTTTAGGGTGTGGACTGGACTGGCTGGCTGGTATTGGGGCTGAAGGAAGAGAAGGTCAAAAAATAAAGCAGCACCACTGCACGTAAGCAAAACAAAATCACGGTAGAAGAAGCGATTGGACCTGTCATATTCTTCGGGTGGGAAGTTGATACATCCCTTGTGAGAGTACGCAGGGATGAAGAGGGGAAGATTCATGCGGATCTAGTGGAAGTTAATCGGAAAATGAATTTTATTTTATTTTGATTTCTGATTTTTAATTTAAATTTTTTTGAACAAGAAATTGTGAGGGTGGGTTTACTTTGGCAGCAAGAAGAAAGAACTAAACTAGACTAGACATAGATTAGCTGGGGATCTGGTTCAGGGACTCTTGGCCCCATCGCCATCGCCATCGGGTACGTAGACGATGACGCTGTCATTTGGGGGTTGGAGGGTTGAGGATTCTGTCCAGGATTCTTTCATTTCTTCCACGGGAGAGAAGCATTGCGAGAACAGCATTTGAAAGACAATGAATGATTATCAATTAGGATAGAAGAATGTAGAGCAAAGTATCTATTTCTACATCCGAACAGCCGACGGGCAAAT